CCCCTCACGGTTCGGCCAATCAGCGCGCGGTGCGCGCCGCGCCGCCCCGCCCCTTGGCGCCTCGGCCAATCAGCGCGCGGTGCGCGCCGCTCCTCCTCGCCAATCAGCGCGCGGTCCGTCGCGTCGCGTGCGCAGTTTCTGGATTTCCCCCTCACGGAGCCGAGCGCGTCTTCCGGTCTCTAGCAAAGCCACGCCCCCAATAAAACAAGCCACGCCCACAAAACATTATTTGCATTGACCACGCCCTTTCGCTCCGTGGCCACGCCCACTCGCAGCTCTACCGTAATGACGCGTCGAGCGGCGCTCCCAACTCTTTACCGTAATACCTCGTTAAACCCGCAAATTAAAAATAAAGGAGCGGTTTTCCCGCCACCGGCGACCCCCCCGCGACCCCCCCGCGGGTGTCACCTCCCGACCCCCCACCCTCCCAGGGGTCACAGTTAGCCACGTCACCGTTTATTGTTGTGATACAGCGTGGCCAAGCATCGCTGTGGGGTTTGGACACACGGGGACACCCCCCAGGGGGACATTGGGAACACCCCCCAGGGGGACATTGGGGACACCCCCCAGGGGGACATTGGGGACATCACTGGGGACATCACTGGGGACACCACCCTGGGGACATCAGGCACCTGGGGACACCACTCTGGGGACACTGGGGACACTGGGGACATGGGGACACCACTCTGGGGACACTGGGGACACTGGGGACACTGGGAACATGGGGACATCCACCCTGGGGACATTGGGGACACTGGGGACACCACCCTGGGGACACTGGGGACACGGGGACATCCACCCTGGGGACATTGGGGACACGGTGACACCACCCTGAGGACACTGGGGACAGGGGGACACCACTCTGGGGACACTGGGGACACAGTGACACCACCCTGGGGACACCCTCGTCCCCTTTACGGGGTCGGGGCCGTGTCGGGGTCCCGGGGAGGGTCCCGGGGGGGCTCCCAGAGGTCCCCGCAGAGGTCGGGGGACAGCAGGGGGGGGACATCGGCGGCGGCCCCGTAGTGGCGGTGGCACAGCACGTGGCACAGCCAGGCCACCAGCGGCCAGAACTCGGCGAAGGTGACGCGGCCGTCGCGGTCCCCGTCCAGGCGCGAGAACAGCTCGGCCACCGCCCCGGGGTGCCACGTGCCCTGCGGGGGGACACGGGGGACGTGGGGGGACACGGGGGGACACTGGGGACACCGCGGGGACATGGGGGGACACCACAGGGACACACGGGCGACGTGGGGGGACACCGCGGGGACACCGCGGGGACACTGCGGGGACATGGGGACATCTTGGGGACATGGGGGGACACCGCGGGGACACCCTGGGGACACCGCAGGGACACCCTGGGGACGAGGTGGGGACATGGAAACACCCGCGGTGACACGGAGGAGGGGCCTGGGGACACTCGGGTGACACGGAGGGTGGCCCTGGGGACACTCAGGTGACACGGGGTGTGGTCCTGGGGACAGAAAGTGATGGGGGGTGGCCCTGGGGACACAAAGGGGACACAAAGTGACCGGGGGTGGTCCTGGGGACACTCGGGTGACACGGGGGAGGTGGCCCTGGGGACACAAAGTGATGGGGGATGGCCCTGGGGACACTCAGGGGCACTGTGGGTGGTCCTGGGGACACCCGGGTGACACGGGGGGTGGCCCTGGGGACACAAAGTGACACGGGGTGGCCCTGGGGACACTCAGAGACACTGTGGAGTGTCCTGGGGACACAAAGTGACCGGGGGGTGACCCTGGGGACACTCGGGTGATAGTGAGGGTGGTCCTGGGGACACAAAGTAATGGGGGGTGGCCCTGGGGACACTCAGGGACACTGTGGGTGGTCCTGGGGACACCCGGGTGACACGGGGGGTGGCCCTGGGGACACAAAGGGGACACAAAGTGACCGGAGGGTGGCCCTGGGGACACTCAGGGACACTGCAGGGGTCTTGGGGACACTCGGGTGACACGGGGGGTGGCCCTGGGGACACAAAGTGACCGAGGGGGTGGCCCTGGGGACACTCAGGTGACACTGGGGGTGGCCCTGGGGACACTCAGGTGACACGGGGGGTGGTCCTGGGGACACAAAGTGACTGGGGGTGGCCCTGGGGACACACAGGGGACACAAAGTGACCGAGGGGGGTGGCCCTGGGGACACTCGGGTGACACGGGGGGTGGCCCTGGGGACACAAGGTGATGGGGGGTGGCCCTGGGGACACTCAGGGACACTGTGGGGGGCCTGGGGACACTCAGGTGACACGGGGGGTGGCCCCGGGGACACTCGGGGGACACGGGGGGTGGCCCTGGGGACACAAAGTGACCGAGGGGGTGGCCCCGGGGACACTCGGGTGACATTGAGGGTGGTCCTGGGGACACAAAGTGATGGGGGGTGGCCCTGGGGACACTCAGGGACACTGTGGGTGGTCCTGGGGACACCCGGGTGACACGGGGGGTGGCCCTGGGGACACTCAGGGACACTGTGGGGGGTCCTGGGGACACTCAGAGACACTGTGGGGTGGCCCTGGGGACACAAAGTGACCGGGGGGTGGCCCTGGGGACACCCGGGTGACACGGGGGGACACTCACGCGCAGCTGGTGGCCGAGCTCCCGCTGCAGCAGCCGCTGGAATTGGGGGGGGTCCAGCCCCGGCTCCGCCCCCGCCCCCCCCGCGTAGCGGTGGAAAGTGCCCACGATGGCGTGGAGACCCCGCTCCAGGGGAGACCCCCCCGCGGGGACCCCCTGCGCCCGCCACACGGGGGGACACGGGGGGACACAGGGGGACACGGGGGGAAGTTGGGAGCGGGATATGGGGGATTTGGGGGTAAATGGGGGATTTAGGGAGGATTTGGGGAGGGAATGGGATTTGGGGGATTTGGGGGATTGGGGGGGTTTGGGGGACACACACACCAGGGGTTGGGTGTGTCCCCCTAACGAGTCCTTGTTTCCCATCCCAGTCCCTCCCAGTCCCTCCCCAGTTCCCCCTACACCCACCCCGGTCCTTCCATCCACCCATCCCTGTCCTTCCCAGTTCCCCCAGTTCCCCCACTCCCTCCATCCCCCTTCCCAGACCCCCAAAATCCCATCCCAGTCCCTCCCAGTCCCTCCCAGTCCCCCAGTCCCTCCATCCCCCATCCCAGTCCCCTCGAAGTTCAACCCCAGTCCCTCCCAGTCCCTCCCAGTCTCCCCTCACACCCATCCCAGTCCCTCCCAGTCCCCCAGTCCCTCCATCCCCCCATCCCAGTCCCTCCCAGTGCCCCCAGTCCGTCCATCCCCCCATCCCAGTCCCTCCCAGTGCCCCCAGTCCGTCCATACCCCCGTCCCAGTCGGTGTTGGGGGTCTCAGCCGCCTGTCTCTGCCCCATGGCCCCCCTGGGACACAATCCCAGTTACCGGCCCAAACTGGGACCAGGAACCCCCCAGACTGGAACCAGTAACCCTGCCTGAATTGGGCCCAGTATCCATCCCAAACTGGTCCCAGTATCCACCCTAAACTGGTACAAATGCCCATCCTAAACTGCTCCCAGCATCTCTCCTGAACTGGTCCCAGTATCCACCCCAAACTGGTGCCAGTATCCATCCCAAACTGGTCCCAGTATCCATCCCAAACTGGTCCCAGTCCCACCCCTGAACTGGGCCCAGCTCCCTTGCCCTGCTCCCCCCTGAACTGGTCCCAGTGGGTACCTGAACTGGTCCCAGTTGGTGCCTGGGCGGCTCCGGCGCCTCTTCCCGGTTTTCCAGAGCCAGGGAAGGGAAGGAGCAGACGCCGCTGATTCACCCCCGACCCCCCCGCACCCTGACACAACCCAGACCCCCCTGACAGCGCCCAGAGCCCTCCCAGAGCCCTCCCAGGGCACCCAAACCCCACCCAAACCCCACCCAGAGCTCCCAAAAACACCTCAAACCCCCTCCCAGAGCCCTCCCAGGGCACCCAAAACCCTCCCAGGGCACCCAAACCCCACCCAAACCCCTCCCAGAGCACCCAAAACCACCTCAAACCCCCTCCCAGGGCACCCAAAAACACCCAAACCCCACCCAGAGCACCCAAAACCACCTCAAACCCCCTCCCAGAGCACCCAAACCCCTCCCAGAGCACCCAAAACCACCTCAAACCCCCTCCCAGGGCACCCAAAAACACCCAAACCCCCTCCCAGAGCACCCAAACCCCTCCCAGAGCACCCAAACCCCTCCCAGAGCACCCAAAAACACCCAAACCCCCTCCCAGAGCACCCAAACCCCTCCCAGAGCACCCAAAAACACCCAAACCCCCTCCCAGAGCACCCAAACCCCTCCCAGAGCACCCAAAACCATCTCAAACCCCCTCCCAGGGCACCCAAACCCCTCCCAGAGCACCCAAAAACACCCAAAACCCACCCAGAGCACCCAAAACCACCTCAAACCCCCTCCCAGGGCAGCCAAACCCCTCCCAGAGCACCCAAAAACACCCAAACCCCCTCCCAGGGCACCCAAACCCCACCCAGAGCACCCAAAAACACCCAAACCCCACCCAAACCCCTCCCAGAGCCCCCCAAAACACCCAAATCCCCTCCCAGGGCACCCAAAACCCCCCAGAGCCCCCAAAACCACCCAAACCCCTCCCAGATCCCCCAATAGCACCCAGACCCCCTTCCAGGTGCCCCCTCCCCCCTTTTTTCCCCCCATGGAATTTTCCTCTTCGTTCCCAAAACTTCACATTTTTATTTTTCTATCAAAAAATCGCTTTTACTACAAAACCCTGCCCAGAAAACACCGTTTGGGCCACAAAAAATTACATTTCCCCTTCAAAAAAATCCCAAATCCCCTCCAAACCCCCAGTTTTTCCACCCCAGGACCCCCAGATTTTAAGCAAACTTAGTTTTTATCCTCAAAAATCCCTCTTTTTGGGTTTTCTGGGGTTTTTTGTGTTTTTTGGGGTCAGGAACTCTCTTTCTGCCTTTTCCAGAACCTCTTGACGTTGGGTACCCCAATGAGCCAAACCCTGAATATCTGGGGGTATTTTGGGGGGTATTTTTTCAGATATTTTGGGGGTATTTTTTTTGATATTTTGGGGGTATTTTGGGGTATTTTTGGGGTATTTTTTGGGGTTTTTTTTGGGGGGGTCAGGAGCTCTGCTTTTGCCTCTTCCAGAACCTTTTGAAGTCGAGGACCCCAACGAGCCAAACCCTGAATATCTGGGGGTATTTTGAGGGGTATTTTTTTTAGATATTTTGGGGATATTTCGGGGGCATTTTTTGGGTTGTTTTGGGGGGGTATATTTTGCTTTTTAGGAGTCAGGAGCTCTGCTTTTGCCTCTTCCAGAACCTCTTGACATCGGGGACCCCAACGAGCCAAACCCCGAATACCCGGGGGTGTTTTTGGGGCATTTTGTGGGGTATTTTTTCAGATGTTTTGGGGGTATTTTTTTTGATATTTTGGAGGTATTTTGTGGCATTTTTGGGGGGTATTTCTGGGGTTTTTTTTTGGGGGGGTCAGGAGCTCTGCTTCTGCCTCTTCCAGAACCTCTTGACATCGGGGACCCCAACAAGCCAAACCCTGAATATCTGGGGGTATTTTGAGGGGTATTTTTTTTAGATATTTTGGGGATATTTTGGGGGTATTTTTTGGATTGTTTTGGGGGGGTATATTTTGCTTTTTTGGGCTCAGGAGCTCTGCTTCTGCCTCTTCCAGAACCTCTTGACGTCGGGTACCCCAACGAGCCAAACCCTGAATACCCGGGGGTATTTTGGGGGCATTTTTGAGGTATTTTGAGGGCATTTTGGGGGGTATTTTTTTGATATTTTGGGGGTATTTTGGGGTATTTTTGGGGGGTATTTTTGGGGTTTTTTTTTGGGCTCAGGAGCTCTGCTTCTGCCTCTTCCAGAACCTCTTGATGTCAGGAACCCCAACGAGCCAAACCCCGAATACCCGGGGGCATTTTGGGGGGTATTTTTTGGGTATTTGGGGACATTTTGGGTTTTTTTTTTTAGGAGCTCTGCTTCTGCCTCTTCCAGAACCTCTTGACGTCGGGGTGGCCCTGGGGGGTGACGACCATGAGGCGCCGGGGGGGGTTCTCGAAGACGAGCACGCCCAGGGCGCGGGCGTGGTCCCGCAGCACCTCGAAGTCCACCTGGGACAGGAACTGGTTGTACAGCACCCCTGGGGGGACAGCGGGGTCAGGGGGGACACCTCAGGGTGTCACCCGTTCCTGGGGACATCCCCAGTGTCACCTCCCCCCTGGGGACACCCCCTGTGTCACCTCCCCCCTGGGTTGTCACCCGCTCCTGGGGACACCCCCAGTGTCATCTCCCCCCTGGGGACATCCCCAGTGTCATCTCCCCCCTGGGGACACCCCTGGATTGTCACCTCCCCCCTGGGGACACCCCCAGTGTCATCTCCCTTTGGGGACACCCCCTGTGTCACCTCCCCCCTGGGGACACCCCCGGTGTCACCTTCACCACCTTGGGGACACTCCCAGGGCTGTCACCTCCCTTTTGGGGACACCCCCAGTGTCACCTCCCCCTTGGGGACACCCCAGAGCTGCCACTCACAGTCAGTGACACCCTTGGGGACACCCTGGGGCTGCCACCCCCCCTTTGGGGACACCCCCAGGGCCATCAACCCCCACCTTGGGGACCTCCCCTCCCGAGTTGTCACCCCCCTTTGGGGACACCCCGGGGATCCCAAACCAACCCCCCCCCCCGAGGTGCCACCCCCCCTTGGGGACAGGTTTTGGGGTCCCTTGGGGGCAGGTTTTGGGGTCCCTTGGGGACAGGTTTTGGGGTCCCTTGGGGGCAGGTTTTGGGGTCCCTTGGGGACAGGTTTTGGGGTCCCTTGGGGGCAGGTTTTGGGGTCCCTTGGGGACAGGTTTTGGGGTCCCTGGGGGCAGGTTTTGGGGTCCCTGTCCCCCCCCACCGTCGCTGAAGCGCAGCCGGTCCCGCTCCAGCTCCCACAGCCGGATCTGGTCCGTGATGGTCGCGGGCAGCACCGGGGTCTGGGGGGGCACCGCCATGGCAGGGGGGGTGGGACCCCCAAGGACACCCCACCAACAGCCACGGACCCCCAAAAACACAGGGACACCCCACAAACAGCCAGGGACCCCCAGAAACACCCCACAAATAACCAGGGACCCCAAAAACACAGGGACACCTCCCACAACAACCAGGGACTTCCAGGGACACCCCCCAACAAACAGGGACACCCCAAATAAACAAGGACCCCCAGGAACACCCCAAATAAACAGGGACCCCCGGAAACACCCCCCAAATAACCAGAGACCCCCAGGGACACCCCAGGGACCCCCAGGAACCCCCCAAATAAACAGGGACCCCCAGGGACACCCCAAATAACCAGAGACCCCCAGGGACACCCCAGAGACCCCCAGGGACCCCCCAAATAAACAGGGATCCCCAGAGACACCCCAAATAACCAGAGACCCCCAGGGACACCCCAGGGACCCCCAGGGACCCCCCAAATAAACAGGGACCCCCAGGGACAGCCCCCAACAAACAGGGACCCCCAAAAATGCAGGGACACCCCATGAACAGCCAGGGACCCCCAGAGACATCCCCCAATTAACCAGGGACCCCCAGAGACCCCCCCCAACAAACAGGGACCCCCAAAAACACAAGGACACCCCCCCCAGACAGACTGGGGACCTCCCCAAATACAAGGACACCCCCCATGGCCCTGAGACCCCCTCAACACACCCAGGATCCCCCAAGGATGAGACCCCCATGGCTCTGAGACCCCCAGGTCCCAGGACCGCCCCCAGGGCCCCAGGACCCCCCAAAACACTCCCCGGGGCCCCCACCTGCTTGGCCATGACGGGGTGGGCGCGGGTGCGCAGGAAGTGAATGATCTGGGGGGACACCGAGGGGGTCACTAAGGAGGGTCACCAACCCCCGTGTCCCCCACAACGTCCCCCGGTGTCCCCAAATGTCCTTGATGGTCCCAATGTCCCCTGGTGTCCCCTAAATGTCCCCCCAATGTCCCTGATGGTCCCAATGTCCCCTCAATGTCCCCTCAATGTCCCCTCAATGCCCCCCAATGTCCCTGATGGTCCCAATGTCCCCTCAATGTCCCCTCAATGTCCCCTCAATGCCCCCCCAATGTCCCTGATGGTCCCAATGCCCCCCCAATGCCCCCCAATGTTCCCTCAATGTCCCCAATGTACCCCCAATGTCCCAAATGTCCCCTCAATGTCCCCTCAATGCCCCCCCAATGTCCCTGATGGTCCCAATGTCCCCCCAAAGTCCCCTCAATGCCCCCCCAATGTCCCTGATGGTCCCAATGCCCCCAAAGTCCCCTCAATGTCCCCCCAACATCCCCTCAACGTCCCCTCAGTGTCCCCCCCAATGTCCCCAACGTCCTCAATGTCCTCTCAACATCCCCCAATGCCCCCAAACTGTCCCCCCCAGTGTCCCCAGGGTGTCCCCACACCTGGTCAGCTGTGATCCCATTAGCGATGGCCGCCTGGACACTGTCCCTTGTCACCCCTGGTGCCCCCCCAGTGTCCCCAGGGTGTCCCCAGTGTCCCCTCAGTGTCCCCACACCTGGTCAGCAGTGATCCCATTGCCTGGACACTGTCCCTTGTCACCCCTGGTGTCCCCCCAGTGTCCCCAGTGTCCTCAGTGTCCCCAGTGTCCCCACACCTGGTCAGCAGTGATCCCATTGCCTGGACACTATTCCTTGTCACCCCTGGTGTCCCCCCCAGTGTCCCCAGGGTGTCCCCACACCTGGTCAGCTGTGATGCCATTGGCAATGGCCGCCTGGACACTGTCCCTTGTCACCCCTGGTGTCCCCCCCAGTGTCCCCAGGGTGTCCCCACACCTGATCAGCTGTGATGCCATTGGCGATGGCCGCCTGGACACTGTCCCTTGTCACCCCTGGTGTCCCCCCCAGTGTCCCCAGTGATCCCCAGTATCCCCAGTGTCCCCACACCTGGTCAGCAGTGATCCCATTAGCAATGGCTGCCTGGACACTATTCCTTGTCACCCCTGGTGTCCCCCCCAGTGTCCCCAGGGTGTCCCCACACCTGGTCAGCTGTGATGCCATTGGCAATGGCTGCCTGGACACTGTCCCTTGTCACCTGGGCCACCACCAGGTTGGGGAAGCGATAGAGCAGCTCCGAGAAGAGGGCGATGAGGGCCACCTGCAGCTCCGAGTCTGGGGACAGGCAGGGGACACTCAGGGGACATTGGGGGGACATTGGGGGGACATTGGGGGATACTGGGGGACGTCGGGGGCACTGAGAACGCTGGAGGGACACTGGGGGATAGTGGGGACATCGGGGACGTTGGGGGACACTGGGGACGTTGGGGGACATTGGGGGACATTGGGGACACTGGGGGACATTGGGGGACACTGGGGACACTGGAGGGACATTGGGGACATTGGGGGACATTGAAGGCATTGAGGAACACTGGGGGGACATTGGGGACACTGGGGGGACACTGGGGACATTGGGGGACATTGGGGGACATTGGAGAACACTGGGGGGCATTGTGGTATTGGGGGACATTGGGGGACATTGGGGACACTGAGGGGACATTGGGGACACTGGGGACATTGAGGGCATTGAGGGACACTGGGGGGACATTGGGGACACTGAGAGGACATTAGGGGACACTGGGGACATTGAGGGGACATTGAGGGACATTGGGGACACTGGGGGGACATTGAGGGACATTGGGGCAGACTGGGGGGACATTGGGGACATTGAGGACATTGGGGGACATTGGGGACATCTAGGGACATTGGGGACATTGGAGGACACTGGGGGACATTGGGGACACTGAGGGACATGGGGACAGTGGGGACAGTGAGGGGACATTGGGGACATTGGGGAACACTGGGGGACATTGGGGGCATTGAGGGACATTGGGGGACATTGGGGGACATTGAGGGCATTGAGGGACACTGGGGAGACTAAGGGGACATTGGGGGGACACTGGGGACATTGGAGACACTGGGGGACATTGGGGACAGTGAAGGCACATTGGGGACATTGGGGGACATTTGGGGGCACTGAGGACATTTTGGACACCAAGGGGACATTGGGGGACATTGAGGGGACATTGGGGGACATTAGACACTGGAGAACATTTTGGACACCA